ACTAATTTACAAAGGTAATTAAGAATTACAAATTTTAAAATATTGCAAAAAGTACAAAAGGACCAAATCATATATTCTAGATTTTTCAAATATAACAAATTAACCCTTAACTACTAAGTGGGTGATTGGATATAAACAATAAAAAAATCAATCAAAATTTAAATTTAACATATTATCAGTATAATTAAATAATATCAACTAGTCATTCTTACACATCACACCAACTTTAATTCTCTATTCATCAACTCACATAATTTTAACTAATCATCACTTCTAATTATTTTTCTCTTATTTTTACATCAAATCAACTTTATTGATTTTATTTTAAATATTATTTTAATATATTCACTAATAACTAATCATACCACATTCTTTAAAATTAACTATGATTAAAAAAAGTCAATCAAAAATCAATCAAATTCATATTCAATCACAACCTAGCCCATTTTTTAGGGTGTTTATGTATTTAAAATAAAAAAAAATACATACAATAAAAATGCATCGGGACTTAAGATCTTCCAGACACGCCACCACCCTGGAGAAGACGGCTGCCGACGGATTGGTCGAGCAAGGATCGACACACAATGGTGGAGGATCGTCACCACCAACTCTGGATGTCGACGGCGTGTGCAGCCTGCATATTCCACTAGCGCGGGAGCTCAACCAAAAATTCGATGTTGAGGTCATTCGCTGGCTGCTTGAGTAGGTCGTGCTGGTGATCATGGAGGTCGTAGGCATCAGGAACGCGTCTGCCATCGTTGTCTCGGTGAACGGCCTTCGTTGACGACGCGTCAAGCTTCATCTCCTGTGACAAAGTTAAAAAAACATAGAGCTCGTATGGCTGTTTGTCAAAAAAAAAAGAAAAAAAAAAAGTATTTGATATGTCAACCTGTAAAATTCGTGATAGTTCAGATAACAAAATAGTTTTAATTATTTTTTATGTGGAGAGGTATGGGGATATCTTCCCAAATATGTGTCCTCCGATAAAAGGAATGGCATCCAACTAATAATATATCTATTACTCTTACTTATAAAACAAGAAGCAAGGGTTCTTGGGTTGGTCATCTTTGACTCTGTTGTCTTCTTTGCTAGTATGAGTAAACCCCATAAGTTGCTTTTGTTTCCCTCTACTATATTTGGTATTTATCAAGGGCTGGTATCAAACTCGATGCTCGAGTATGGGATGAACTTGCAGCCGTGAGCAAACCAGTCAGCATGTCTTCTAGAGAGCCAAGTCACAAAGTAACTTCATCTGTGAAGGCGTATGATATTCTTAAACAGTTGGACAAGTTATTTGCTCGCCAAATTTTCTTATTTGGGACTTTGGAGAAGAAGATGGTTGATCAGCGCAGGTATTACAAGGATGTACTTGGGGGTTTGACGGCTGCTGCTCCTTTGGCCTCTGAAGCAAAAAAAGAGAGATGAAGCTCAGGACAAGAAAAATGGAACTGAACGGGCAAATGTAAGGGAAAATCAAATTTGATCCAGTCTGAAGAATAGGTTGCTGCCGAAGAAGAAGAATATGAGGAAGATGAGACTGCAGAAGAATGCAAGGAAGATGAAGGTTATGAAGATGCTGGTGATGGGGGCTCTGATGAATCTGATGATGGTCCTGACTGAGTTAACTGATGGACATTTATTTTGATTGGGTCTGTTTTAAATTATTGCTTATGTGGTCGTGTGTGGTCGTGGTGAATGAGCACTTTTATGATATGTTTTGTGCGGTTGTGGTGGTGATGATTTGGACACCATTTTATTTTGGTTGGTTAGTATAATTAGTATTAATTATTCGAATATTTTATGATTCTTCTCTTGCATATGCTCTTCTTAGAGTTTTTTTGAGTTGTGTTAGTTCATTGTTTCTGTTTTTCCTTGGTGTTTTTTATTTGCAGGATCATTAAGACTTGGGTTTTCGATTTATATGCCAAAGATAGAAATTGTAAATTATTTTGTTTATTAAATTGAAAATCCTGAATCATATCTTGGATCAAGTGCAAACTTGGCAAGTGGAAAATCTTGCCGAACCTAAAGGAAGATTGTATTTAATTTTATTTTCTTATGTCATAATTGTTTATTTAAGAAATAATATTTGCTAAATTGTTTGTTAGAAAGTTATCTACCACTGGCAGCACTTACCTATTTGAGAGGAAGGAATGCGTGCACTAACTATGAAGCTTGCGAATGGGGCAACATGGGAGATTGCAAAAATTAGGATGAGTGAAGCTGAAGAAGGAAAGCGGAAAAAATAAGGAAATTACCTTATGGAGCTACATATAAGAAGACTTGCACAAGACATTTACGTGCAGAGAAGTACAGTGAATTAAATTTGTTTTTGTTTGGTACGGAATGAGAAAAAGATTGTGAATGACTAACAAGTGAAAATAGTATATTTTGGTATTGTGTTGTCCAATTAGAGAGTGTGTTCTCTATTTCGAACGTGATTTTGTTCTATAAGAACATTCATGGTGTTTGTAAAGAACACATGTATACAGTACGATGGAGTCGTAGTGTAAAAATCCACGAGTGGTTCAGAAAAGTAATTGAGTGAAGTGATTACAGCGTAGGTTAGGAAGAGTGAGTCTTTCGTGTAATTTTTAGTTGTAATGAGCCAACAATTGCTGCAATAAAAGAGTTCTGAAGGGAGAGCAGGATGCTCTGCTAAAGGTTCAGTTTTGGTTTTAAATTGCTTCAGCATTATTGTGAACATTCTTTGTTAATAGTTAAGCGCAATTTAGTATCTCCCCATAAATTTCAGAAAGCAGTCCCGACCTCTAGATCCTCGTATAATTCATCTGGGTATTGGTCACTGAGCTTGTGATATGTGAGTGTCATGGCCTCTGGGACATAAGTCTTCTCCTCCTCGGCAAGTTTTGTGGTCAGCTTGACTACCTGAGCATGCAGAGACACATTTTCTACAGTAAGGGCATCAATCCTTTATTATAACAATCACCTCTCAGTTGGACTTCAGCCACAGAGCCTCATGTGCCAAAACTGCTTCCTCGACTTGGAATGTTAGCTTTGTTGTATCCGCGATAAACTTTTTCTTCTCGTTCCGGAGCTCGATCACTTCTTTCTCTAGAGGCTCCACCCTTTTAGCCTGATCTTGTAGAGAAATGATGTAATCTCGCATAGATCATGGGAGTCCTTTAGTCAATTAAAGTCCAGCTTGGTCCCCTTTGTCTCCTCAGCAGCCCGAATCAGGCCAACCATGGCCTAGGCCATGTAACCAATGGAATGTTCGATGAGTTCATGATTGGTCAGCAGGGCGAAAGAGAATTCAGCATATGGGTCCGAGCTCATAGACGGGTTCGTGGCAGCTTGGAAGACTTCCTCTGGGAGGTGACACTCGTTTGGGATATCGGGAGATACCACCGACTTGTATCTAATAAACCATCCTTCAGAAAAGTCACAAAGTCTTACCAGATTTACCACCTTCTCTTCGTCGGTAGACAGATTATGGTGAGTGTCGGCCTGGTGAATAGGAGCGTCCATCTCTTTCGACGACCCCAGTTACCTTCGCACAATCTTCCTTAGAGCCTTCCGGAGTTTTCTTGTTCTGCGGCAGGGCCTCATCCCCACTACTGACAGAATCTCGTTTTTGCCCAGTCCTTCTACCACGGCCGCCACAACGACCTGGCCTAGTAGACACAGGTCGAGTTGAGTCTGGTCCTTATGGGGCCACAGAAGTGATCGACACTTGATCGACCTAATCTTCATAAGGGGGTCGGCTACCCCCACGACTCCTTGAAGGCCTCCTCGTCACCTAACTCATTCTATCCATGGTTTCTTTTTATCTTACTTCTTAACTTTTTTCTTCTTTGGGGCCGACACCCGCATTTTGTTGTCTTTAAAAGAAAAAACACCTCAAATTTTTTCAGGAGTAGGAGTTGGCCACCCTCTCTCAAGGAATATCACAATAAGCTCTATCACCTTGGCTCATGTATTCGGCCAATCTGAGAAAATCCTACACATGCCTCACGAATAATTTTTGTGAGGAGGCCGGGCAGGAAAACCTCAGTTCGGACGTCATGCTTTGCTTGAACGCCTATGCAACTTGGTGGAGGGAAATGAATCATTTCACCTGGGTAAGGGGCGAATAACCTGACCGATGAGTGAACTCTGATCCCGTCCCTCAATTTCGCGATCTCGACATCAATCTGTTGGAGGTATGTTGTAAAAGCTATGTTTTGCAGATTCTATCAATTTCCATTTTGATCCGGCCATCATGTTTCAGTCAAAGTACATATGTTTGCAGTTTATTTATTTATGCAAATTCATACTCCATGTCTTATATTGAGGTAGTGTGGTTCGAAGTGTTTTTAACAGAAATATCACCTATCAGTTCCTTATAGGACTAAACTATTCGTTCATAGTCTAGACAGGCATTGAGACCCTCTTGGAAAAAGACTGTAGTGTATTATTGATTCAGTTGGTCTTTGACTGAAGAATTACACTAACACTTATGCTAAGTGTTGAACAGGACCACGGAAGGATAAGATTATGAGACTCACTCACCGTTGTTGTAATCTAGACCTTCAGTTATTGATGCGTTCTCTAAAGCTGTAAGATAATATAAAATAGGCATATATATTCATCTCTTATTTATTTGATTTACCATGTGATTCCTATTTTATTAGGATGACATACTAGGTATTTTGGTAAGTAAGAATGATTATATGATGTGCTATTATAAATTATTTATGGTCACTATGTTCCAGTGCGCTGGATTGATGACGTCCCCGAAATGAGCTCAGGAATGTACATTATGTTGAAACCCTGCATGTAGACGGATGTCTGACATAATGGTTAAGAATCTGAGTGGTACTAATTTCGGAAATGAATAAAAAGTTAATTAATTATTTTGTCAGTAATTTAATTAATTAACGGACGTTATATCTTAAACATGGGGAGGTAAATCGGTCAATCAGATTAATATTATTTAATCATGGATGCTCGATTTTATTGGTAAAATAGTGGCTAAATGGGGAGAGCAATAATATTACTCTAGTGGGATGTTTAATTATTTAATTCTATTTAATT